ATTCAGAGATATCAGAAATTGTGCTAGCCAGCTGGAGAGAGGGAAAAGAAGCTGCATCTTCACTCAATGTCCAGTCTTTTAACAAATACAACTTCATGGCTTCAGGAAGAGTTCTTGAGTTCCTCTCTTGAGCTCTGGGTAATAGTTTCCAGGGAATCAGGAAAAAAACCCGGAGACTGTAACTCATTAAATAGCAGGATATATTGTAATGCATGAGCTGAGGCGCTCTCAAGCTTCCCAAACCAAGGGGCACAGAGCAAGCTGTCGTTGCCCACGCCCCAGGGCATCCCTATTCCCTTCTCCAAATGCAAGGCCAGGCACTGGCAGAAGAGAGAACTACGTGCCTGGCAGCTGAAAGCCGAGGAAAGAGAAAATACGATGTGCAGTAAATCAGGTACGTGCAAAATAATCATGACGGGCCACATCATCCTAACACTGCTTTGCATTGTTTCCACCTTGATGATCCTTCAGCATGTCACGATGCTGAATCATGATGACACAGTGGCAGGAAGCGTGTATCGGATGCAAAGTGAAAAGGTCATGTTATGATTGTGGCCCTATGAAGCGCTGGAGAGACTTTCTTTATGTTGGAGTCCCTTGTTCTCACGCTGGAAGACTGGTCTGCACCGAAATCGAGAAAAGCTTCCGGAGCAGTTCAGAAAAATTTGACCTACATACAGATAAAAGAGGAATCTTTTTTTTTTTTTCCCCAAAACTGCTTATCGCTGTATCAGTGCATGGATTTCAAATAGTGTTTAAAAAATGTTCTTTAAAAGTAACTTTCTGTCCATAGCTGGACTTTAAGCACCCCGAGGGCCTGCTGGCTTGCTTAAGTTAGAGGCCAAAAATGTACATAATTGTCAATCTTCAGCAAGACGGAGTTCTTTTCTAACCAAAGCCAGAAATACTCCCTCTGGAGAAACCTCACAAACAATGTGGAAAAAGCTTTTGAACTTTCCATGGTACAAAGTTTAAAATGAGGACAAAACTGGAATGAGTCAGTCTTGAGCATTTTCTAAGCTCTGCTGCATTTCCATTGCTTTACAGATATAGACATCTGGTAGCAGCATTTTCAGTTAAAAAAAAAAAAGGACATTGTCTTGTACTTCACTAGCGTAATTAATTTTTCTTTAAATATTAATAAAATTATTGAAGTAGTCAAGTATTTTAATATATGTAAATCTCTCTGGATCAACCCTAACCATATTTTTGGTGTAATAAAAATAGGATATGTAATATGTAAATCTCTCTGGATCAACCCTAACTTGGTGTAATTAATTTTTCTTTAAATATTAATAAAATTATTGAAGTAGTCAAGTATTTTAATATATAAATCTCTCTCTGGATCAACCCTAACCATATTTTTGGTGTAATAAAAATAGGCTATATTCCCAGCGAAGCAAATGCATATCATTTCAGACAGATTCAGGGACAGCAAAAACAATTTTAGTTGAAGAGCCTGGAGGAATCCCACAATATTAAACACAATATTAAACACAAGTTTACACAAAGTAATCGAGAATAGTTCTCCTTATAATTTAGCCCAACCCTTATAATCTCAGATTATAATTAAAGGTTTTTCCTTTAAACATTACACCATTATGATATTCAGTGATAAACAACCAAATTATTCTGTTACTTTAATTTCAGCAAAAACTCTTAGGGAAACTCTACGACGGCATCAACAAGCACTAAGCAGGATGGGAGGTGATCCAGGGTACTGCGGATGATTTTCAGGGCTCTGAACCTGATTCTCCACTGTCCCAAGGGCTGCGTGTTACCTCATACTGGGACAGGAGAATATCAAGCTCTTGGCGTACCAGAGAGCTGAAGCCTGGATCTTGAAAATTGCCGAGACCCCTTAGCTTGTGCTGGCCACAGGGTGACTTGACAGGACCCTGCGGTGGTGTGCTCCTCGGGTAATGGTCGGCACTAGCACAGCCAGTCAATAACCCTACGCCTTCCTGATCGCCTCTGATGGGTGACCCTTTCCTGGCTTTGCAGAAACAGCGGAGGCATTTGGGAGGTGAATAAACCACGCTAACCCTTTGAATACCTCAGGAAAAGAGCATGCATTCAACAAAGGAGCACTTGCATAGCCTTGTGGATGTACTTTGTACAGTTTGTCCTGATTAGAAAGGAAGTGAGTTTAACAGAGGATCCAACTCAGACAAAGAGTTCTCTAGTTTTATTTGGAAAAGCTGCAAACTTGTTACAGTTCGCTTGCTTGTATGAAAAGCTAGCTTGAAAAATGCCACTGCCGAGATCAGTTTAAGTGGAATAAGAGCAGTCAGGCTGAAGAACACGGTGGAGTGGTCTGAAGGGAAGAGAGCAAATGCTACAAGCCCCCAAGTTCTGAATTTTAATTGTGACACTGTCATGGACACACATCTGTCTGACTGATGCCTTTAACTACCACCAGCCTCAGGAGCACATGTAGCTTCCAAGTGGCCTTCTGGCGGCAGTGAAAAACTTAGCCTGGAGTCCCAGGGACTTTTTTCCTGTTCGCAGAAAAACTAGCTGAAGATGAGACTACTTTTTATTTCAACTTTATTTCTAAGCTGATTTTGTTCTGTGAATTAAACTTCTCTAATCTTGTTATTTTGCATTCCCCCCTCTCCCTGGGCTTCAAAGATTCTTTTTTGGTTGCTCATACAACCTTACCGCTGCAGTACTCAAGATATATAAAGCATGGTATAAATGCAGCTATTATTACTACTTAACGAAAACAGAAAAGTTATTCATTGACCAACCCTTTTTTCCCCCCGCATTTCTAATAAACATACCAGATCTGTATCTAAGTGGTGGCAAAAAACTATGACCTTGCACTAAGTTTATCCCACAACATCCTCATCATGGCTGGTATTCCTTCAAAGACTTTTCACCTGCATCCTCCGCAAAGCAGTATGTCTCATCATTACCCAGTCACCAGTCAAGTTCTTTTCCAACATTCACTGACACAGACGAGAAATGAGCTGTCTTGGAAATGCCACGTTAGGGAGCAAGTGAAGAGTAACCAGCAGAAAAGAAAGAGGAGGAAGTCCCTTCCCCCTCAGTTTTGGCAACCATCATGTTGGTCGTTTTGCTTTGTATACCGTATGTTGCTTTTCGTCGTGCTTTGTCCTTACGCTGTCTTTTAAGGAACAAGCTCTTTGGCAATGAATAGCCTTTATATGCTTGGAAAACATTTCTAGCATGTTGTAGACACTATTGTAATAGAAACACTCATTGTCCTCCAGAGTTTCCTTACCACCACCACTCTTTTCTGCAGCTTTGTCACCGGACAACAACCTTCACGAAATTGTTTTGTGCCGCTGGCGAAGTGCTGTAATCGTAAAATACAGCAAATGCTTCATATACCCAAAGATGGATTTTGTTGAACTTGGTATTTCTGTTGACTGCGCCGGGGAACAGTACGTCAAGACAACCTGAAGTAGCTCAGCACATTAGCAAATGTAAAAACTAAGACCAAGACTTTTAATTGCATCCCAAAAGACATGTGGGAAAGAGAGGGAAAGAACAAAAGACTTCTGAAGCCAAATTAGCCCATGAATTAATAACTATCATTAGGTTTTAGCCAGGCACCATATTTGTACCTTGGTCCTTTTCTTACTTGTTTCGTAGTTGGACTATTGAGTTTCCAGTCTGTGACTTTCATCTCCATTATGTTTGCTGAAGGAGTACGCAACAACAAATGCGAAAGGTCTTTAACTCTTCAGTTTCTTTCTGGCAGAACGTCATTGTTTGCATTTCTGAAGTTTTTGAAAATAACAGGCTTGACTCTCTTCTCATTTAGCCCCGTTTAACAATGCTGCAAGTCCAGGGAACTCAGTTGCGTTAATCTCAGTTTAAAGCAAGCTAGAGGAATGCCTAGCCTAGTATTTCTGACAACCTCATATACCTGTAGTTAAAGAACAACTCTCATTAAACCCAGATTAAAAATCTGTCCACTTTATGCTCTGGATTTAAAACTTGATTTTAACCCACTTCCTTCTGCCTCTACCGCTGTATTTTCCTCCCTTTAAGAGCAATGAACAAAGAAATTACTAATCTGCAACTCTGTTTTTAGTTCCCGGCTTTTCCAGTTCATTCGGCTTTTTTTTTTTTTTTTTAATTCAGCCTTGGAGCTTGCTGATCACATTCACCTTGAAATCTCATCCTTTGGGCTTTCATGACCTTGTCCTCTCAGTACTCCTTTTGCCTTTCTAATAATTCACCCTGTTTTTCCTTCTCATCTTCTCTATATGTACCACAGGCGTTTGTAGCCTTGGCACACTTTGTTTCTCCTTTTACATCCTTCACGTAGTACACACAGTGCCTAACATTCCTCCAAGTCCTATTGCTACGTCAGTTAATTTTAAATCCAGTTCTATAGAGAGAGGTGGTAAGAACCAAACCATTTTAATTGCATACATAAAGCCATCTCACTACAATACAAGTATATTACAATCTTAAGCCTAACAACAGCCTGTGAGAAGCAAAAGCATTACTATTCCTCTTCTAAAGTGGCAAAGAAAAACTGATTTTTCCAGAATTACATGAAAGCCTGTGGCAGCCTATGGGTTACCAACCAGAGGATTCATTTCAGCTTTCTACCTCCAGATCCGTATATTGGCTCATGTATTTGACACTTCTTGGACTTTAGAATGGATTTGCTTAACTTACAGGCAGTGCACACCAACTGCAGGTGCTGCCTCTCACCAACCCAGCCCACGAAGCAAACACTTGCTGTCTGCTCACCAAATGGTTCTCCGAGGGGGTGAGCAGGAGAACCCCCAGCCCGGGAAGAGTCCTTGCTCCAGCTTACCATGAGGCTCTGAGGCACCAACCACCATGTTGGGCTGTATCGCAGGAAATTACAGAATATACTCCACTTTCCTAACATCTACTACATGCAAGCAAAGCCGTGGTTAAGCCTGGTTGATCGGAGCTTACACATCACCTCAGAGGAGTCCAGGTCCTGGTGTGGCTCCTGCCAGCCGATGTGACTGTGTCGGGACCTTCGTCCCTCCACTGTCGCTGCTCTGCCAAATCAGCTTCCTTTTTCCTGTCAGGGGCTTTGCCATGTTGATCATGGCGCTGGCCCCAACTCCTGGCCTCTCCTGGTTTCAGCGGCCACCTCGCCTGCTCCTTCTTCCTGCATTTTTTTTTTCTTAACCATCCTGACTCCGGCCTTCCTTACCGCCGAGTTAGGTGGGACACAAGCCACAGGTTATTTATAAGGGAGCCAGCGCACGTCCCACTCTGCTAGCTATCTGGCAGGGATATTTTGGGGCCTACGGGAGTGACAAAACCTGGCCTTCAACCATCCTGACTCCGGCCTTCCTTACCGCCGAGTTAGGTGGGACACAAGCCACAGGTTATTTATAAGGGAGCCAGCGCACGTCCCACTCTGCTAGCTATCTGGCAGGGATATTTTGGGGCCTACGGGAGTGACAAAACCTGGCCTTCCACTGTGGCCGGGTGTCGCTGCCGCCGGACAAGGACACCCACGGATTAGCGATCTACCGCCCACCCTTGGACGGCGGAGGTGTCCCGGGCAGCCCAGGCCGGTGACACCCCGCAGCAGAGTTTCCCC